GGATTGGGGCCGGTACGTATATGTAGATCAAGTCCCCGAAATTTCAACCCCGCAGCTTTTATAGGTTTTGAGATGAAAGTGCGTGACAGATGCACACACAGACACACGGACACACAGACAACCCCTCGTCAATATGCGTTTTCTGCATTGCATAGCTGCAAAAAACGCATAAAAAAAGGAAAATGCAAAAAGATGAAAAAAGAAAAAGAAAATCAAAATCCCATAATAACACACAAACAAATTATCGCCTCCTTCGTCCTCCATGTTTGAATTTCGCTGCTTTGAAATCAGCATCATCTGGCCTGTAATCGAGAAAGATTTTAATTTAGCACATTTTTCAGTTGATTAGAGAAAATTTTAGACAGCACTTCTTTGACGGGTGGAACTATGGAGCGAAGGATGTTCGAAGTGTCTTTTCATGACCATACAAACAATCAGGCTCTAAATCGGACAAGCAACATGCAAGACTGCAGCGACTATGCAAAAATGTGAAATCCAGTGAACTACAGTTTTACTCTGAGAAACTGATATTGAATAAGTTATGCTTCTCTGGTTAACGAATGGTATAAGCGGAAAGAGATGTAATCAGTTGAGAAGTCATCGAAAAGATGGCTTGCGCATAGCATGCAAGCGGAAGATACTAATCTAAATACATGAAGCTTAGAAAAGAGGGGTCAAGCAAACTGTGCGCCTGGTGTGCTAATACATCCTGGTAGCGCCAGCAACATCGGATCTCCATATCCTGATAACCTTACTAAACTACCGAAACTAAATTAATGAATGTACTCAGTCGCCTTTTCTGACAGAGATTTCATTCGTTTTAATGGCAGATTGATATCTAATCCGTAGCAACTTTGTTTAATAACCCAAATTTGAGCAGCCAAATCACACCACCACGTGACAGAACATTGTTCAAGTAAAAACAGGAAAGGGTGCCATTTTGCATGGCTGGAGAATTACACTACGCAATGCAGCTCATCAAAGTAAGTAAATAAAATAGCACTGTTCGTGTGTCATTATCTTAGGATCAAAATTCCCTCCGTATTTCTCAGTTTATAAGCAAAACTCGGAAAATTTCTGAGTGACAACACTTTGATAATTACCAGTGTTCGTAAAGCCGCATGAATCTGCCCCAGTAATAAAAATTTCACTCAAAATCTTACCCGTGTCGGAATCGTTTCACATCTTTTTTGCCAACTGCTGTCAGTTCGGCTGTGAATGAACTCTTCGCTTTTCGTTTCTTCTTGCCACTGCTTGGTCTCTCGTCATGCTCCACAACTGCTCGTATCTTCTTCCCTTTTCTGGCTCGTTTCGCTGCGCGAATTTGGAATTCAGCCAGACGTCGATCTCGTAATTCATCCTGTACACAGGCAACCCATTACAGGAGCAGTATGATTCAACTTCATCTACCCCGATGATATAGGAATTAAAAACATAGTTAGTAAATTATTCTCATGAACGTTGCCTCCTCATTATTACATAGAATTACTTACCATGTGTTAGTTCCCTCCTCTTCCATCTGCTCTATCACCCTTATTACTTTCATGCTATTATGCTTTCTTCCATCTTTTTCTCTTTTTCTTTCACTTATCCTTCTTGCAAATTAGTTACATGTCCTTTCAATACGTGGCGGGTAGGAAGGCTGTACTGACGATTCCCACTTCTACCCGCATGCATAGTCCGGTCTGTGCTTACAGCTAAGGGGTGAAACATAGACTGCATTGTGAAATGTCTTCTTATACATAGCACGTAATTCCAATTTTCTTACACCACTATTCAAGTGGAACGTGAACTACTTATAAAGTACGCCTAATTTTTGCTTTACAATCACCACTTTTCCATTAATACCAGCTGCTTCATCGCTAACAAGTTTCACAAAATTTTCTAATCTTTAAAACGAAAAAAAAGAACTTACATCATCCTCGCCAATAGTTGCAGATTTTTTCTTTGACTTCTTTATCGCATCTGAAAAAACAAAAGTGATCTTTCAAAACCTAGATTACACTGCCAATAACGTTTGGTCTATCACTATGAAGTTCCCAATATTAAATTACCAGGGACACCAAAACGTCTAGAAAATCAGTGTGAGGATCACATGTTAGTGGTGCTACTGGTATGCTCTTGTATTTAGGGCCTAGCTACACCAGGCCTACCTTTTCTGAGCAACATGTTCCTAGCTAGCATCAGCCGCCAGATCGAGGCATATTTTATTCAAAATTTGAAATTTATCAGTTTTTCAGAATTTCCACCTCTCTTCTTCTGTGCCTTTTTCTCCTGTTTCATCCAGGTTCGTTTTTCAACTTTTCCTTCTAATTTCAATTCGCTTCTTTGTAATTCCTCATTCGCTAATCGCAAGGCGCGTTCAGCTTTTTCCTCCTCCTCAATTCTTTTGATACTTTCTTCGAAGCCTTCGATTCGCTTTTTGTACGCTTCGATTACATCTAAAAACCAAAAATACAGGTTAAATTTTTTCTAAAAAAAAAGACTGAAATCATCAAGAACAGTAAAAATTACTCCAATACGCATATACATCAAGTGCACCTATTCTAGGCCTATCTTGAATTGCATGTAAACGCTTGATATTCGCTATCCGCACCAATTATACGTCAATTTTTTTGGACCACTCGCTGGTCGTTTGCTTGTTCGCGGAACCATTGGTATCAAGACGATCACCGTTTATTTCTTCCCCACAAATTACTCCTTTTCTCAGGCCCATAATGATACTTACACGCTGCTCAAAGGCTAAGATGTTTATTTATCGGTGCAGTTACAGTGAGCCCATTCAGCTCTAAATACATGCAAGTTAATACATTTAAGTTCGTTCTATTCCTGCCTTCTTTTTTAAGTTCTTCATATTACTTTCATGCTACAATCAGGCGATAATCAGGTCAGCTAATCAGCTTAACGCTACAAATCCCTCCTAATTCACTTCCCCTGAGACGCGATCACACGAAAGTAACCGGAACGACAGTGCATGCCGACATCAATACTCGCTGTTAAGGTTGTCGACAACTCCCTCTTCCAATACAGTTCTTTAAAAGTAAGCTGATGGCGGTTCCGACACCAATCTGTCAACGCAGAGAGAGATTAGTTTTCCCATTGGTACAGTCAAGTTCAGATCGCAAAATGGAGTCAAACGCTCACCCCTAAATCTGTGCACAGATTTTAAAATCAGGATTTCAATTAAATGCCGAAGGCTAACCAACCGGCACTGATGAGCCGTTGTTTCAGGGTACCTCCTTTGTTCGACGCAACAATCTCCTTCAAAATTTTCCGCTCACTCTCACCAACCAGTGATATGGAACGACCAACACGACCTGCTCGAGCGGTACGGCCAACTCGATGAACATACTGTTTCAGCGAAACGGGCATGTTCATGTTGATAACCTGAAAAATTCAGTTTGCGCTGAAGCAAATTCGG